ATAGTAATAATAATAATAATAATAGTATTATTATTATGTGTATATACACATACACGCATACACCCGCACACGCAATCACACATACATACATACATACAGACGCGCGCGCGCGCACATGCTAGAACGGACTCTGTGTGCGCGCGCGTGTGTGTGTGTGTGTATGTGTAGTCAGATTAGAAGTAGAGCTTGTGTTCGTAAGCCTATGCAAGCAACGTTTTCGACCATAGATTCTTGGAAGAAAAGTGGAAGGGGGATAGCAATGGTGATGAAAAATTCAAGGAAATTTGAAGAAAAGCGACGGAAGTATGACCTAATTATGACATATTTACATAACCTTACACATACTTACTTAAGTATGTAGGCATTCGCATGACTCGCTAAATCAAAAGAAAAGAAAGAAGAAAGAAAAGGAAAAGAAAGAAGGAAAAATGACGAAGAATAAGAATCGGAAGAAGTGCATTTACGTCTACGTATTCGAAGAGAAAAAGAATAAGATAGATAGATGGAAAGATAGATAGACGGACAGCTAAATAGATATATCTCAGACAGAAAGAAAGAGAATGCGAGAGAGAGAGAGAGAGAGAGAGAGAGAGGGGGGGGGGGGGGGAAGAGGGGAAAAAAAAAAAGTACAAGGCCAACACGTTTTCACCGATCAACGACGACTACCGGAAACGAATCGTTTCATCTTCGTATCCTCGTTTTTGGAAAGGCAACGATGTGCAAGGGAACATTGTGACAAGATGCTCGTTTTCTTTTTGCATGTCTCGTAAAAGTTCCAACTCGATAAAGACGGGTCATGAAAAATCAGTATCGAAGAGATTTAAATGCAATAAGCTCCCGTATAAAAAATAATTCTTTCGCGGTGGTTCTCTTGGATCAGGTGTAAACGCATCGACACCTCAATAATAATACCGTGACTCTAGGAACTATCCGCCTTGCCATGGACCATAAACGACTATCAAGGTGCTCGTTATTACTATTTAAGAAACGGACTGTCATCGATTTTTCCGATCGTAGTCCTGCTTGCATTCGATAAATTTACGAGCAATTTCATTCTTCGTGTCCCTATAAAGAGATTTCCGGTACTAAACCAGCCCGATAAAGGCACTTTCAGTCTATCGAATGAGAATTTGTCGGAGGCGAAACAACGACGACAATGACGATAACGACAGCGATGAGAAGGATGACGGTAGCGATGACCGATGAAATTTCATAGGAAATTTTTCGAGAAACGAGAAAAAAGAACGAAAGGATTAAGAGAAGGGTGAAGGGCGTGGAAAAGAAGGAAAAGCAGTAGAGAAGCGAGAAAAAGGAAAGAGAAGAGAATAGAGAATAGAGAATAGAGAATAGAGAATAGAGAATAGAGAATAAGAGAATAGTCGGAGAAAAATATGATCGATGGATATTTGCAGTATAAATGCTATAACGAGTTAAACGAGCCTCGACATCTTCCTCGTCGTCGTTGCTATTCTCGATCTATAAAAGTGGACTATGAGCATCCACATCTCTCGACGACCATGCCTGGTAATCGCGAGAACACGATTTGATACTCGTTATCGAAGTATAGCATCGTGATCTCGGAGAGTTTTCTCGGGGCGCAACATGGACCAGAGTTGTTAGGCGGTTCCGCCAGGCTGACGATGTGGGTGTTTGGATATGCCGGCAGAAAGGCCATTGGACAGTCGCCCGAACAGTAATTGGCATCGTACCTGTGACACAAAATTCCAATGCGTTCACGATTACGCGTTATCGCATCGTATCGATCGTGTCGCGTATCGATGGAAAGCTGGATAATCTGACATCGACTATGATCGCGCGATGACCGAGCGATTATGGAACGATAACGCGGTGATAGGATGAAAAGTGACGGGCGGTAACAGTACGCGGTAACGTGTGGTAACGTGTACGGTGATATATACCGACACGCGTTCCATTTCATTTCGAGATATATTATAGAAATGGTTGCGATTCTACTTTATCGCAGTTCCGCTTAATCGTAACGCGAACGGTAAACATTCCGCTATTGGAAAACCGAATAAATAATTTCGAATGTCGATGCACCGTGAATGAGAAGAAAAAAGAAGATATACGTATATCGGTTCTTGCGATATACGTACATGCGTACATACGTATATGGCGGGTACTCACTTCTTGGGCGCGATTATCCAATCCCAACCAAATTTCTCAAAGTCCACGGTGAGCTTGTACCGACAACATCTGGTCTCTTGGCTGGCTTCGTCGCAATTAAGTCCTACGTTTCTCTTGATCCTCGCCCCTCTTCTAGAGTCGAGTTCTTGCATCTGTACTTCGAGATAGGGCGCGTACTCCGCCCCGGGATTAGTCTCGATCAATTTCGAATTTTTCCGATGATTACCACCGGGACCGGAGATCTTGAGCGCTACTCCGAGATTGTCCCGTGGATGTTTGAACCATTCCGCGACCATCCTTCTTAACTCGATCGTTACCCAGTTGCCTCTGCAACCGATCGGTCGAGGATGTTTCGTGGTTAAAGGTGGACCCAGCGACGATCCTCCCGTTTCGGTGGACCCGCGAAGAATCCTTTGCAACGTGATCGTCACCGGACCATCACCATGGTTCTCCGTGCTTTCCGAGCCCGTATCTCCCGCTTCGTCCAGTTCCGAGGCGTCTTGGTTACTTCCCCATATCCATAGGGATAATTCCGCCCTCGTCACGCGATGCTGTACCACTTTGTCCGAGAATTTGAAATAGAGAACGTCGAGGCTGCCTTTCGAGTGCCGTAGCCTCTGATCTGAAACCAGAAACGTAGGAAGAGCGACGGTTAAACCAACGGGAAATGTCCACGCGTGTTACCTATCGCGATCAAAGGAACACGTATGGAACGATATGGAACACGAGCTTCTATCGGACACTGCCGAGGCAAGAGAGAAAGAGAGAGAGAGGGGGGGCGGAGAAAAAGAAGACGAAGAAAATCCGTGCGATGATCGGGGGATGATCGCGCACGAAAGTTAACGGCGATGTTTCTAGGTTCCACGATTGGCGATAAATCGAAAACAACCGGTGAAGCTAGTCGCTGAGTTTCTTGCCGTTGAAGAAGTACGAAGAGCTCAGTTTGCTCGCGTGCTAGCGTTCGATATTTAGCTCGGCGACAACGACGGCTAACGTTCGATCTAACGTTGCAGGCGACCTCGATCGTAGAGCGATCGTGGCGTTCGGCAGAAGTCGATCGACAAAGAACAGAAGCAAGGGAGAACGGAAAAAGGTGAAGCAAGCGTATACAGACGCGTGGCTAAGTGTACGTTGGTCTCCGCTCTATTCAGGCCATCGCTGGCTGAGACCGCTTCCATGAAGGGTAAAGCTACCTCAAATCGTACCGTTACGCGGACTACGACGTTTTTCCTTGGCCGATCAATCGGCGATCTCCACCTTTCCGTATCGATAACGCGTCGCGTCTTTGCCCTGCCTTCTAAACCGATATTCGAATTCCCGGTATTCGAATACTACGTAGATCTCCGTCTTCGACGATACCCTATACCGCTTTTCTCGCGCAACGATCCGTGTCAAACGTTCAACGCGTTCGGAATAACCTCCAACTCCGATCTTTTTCGCGCGATTCCACTTTAAATGGAGAATATTCGTTAAATTATTCGAGGGCAACGTGTACGATACGCGGTCGTTTATTCAAATTCGAGCGACGATATCGTTATCGCGGTGGTCGTAGTCGTGGTCGTGGACGTCGTAGTCGTGATCGTCGTCATCGTCGCTGTCATGTTTCGCGTTCTACACGTTTGATTTCCGGCGACATTTCAAGATAATTATTTATCAGCTGCTCCCCTTCCTCTTGCCGCCCGCTACGCGAATTCTTGCTTTCTCTTTCCCACGCCAGACATCGTCATGGAAACGAGCAATTAGCAGTCGGAGCATTCCACCTACCGAATCCCTCTTTAAATCGATTTTATACGCCAGTTAATTGCGGACCGACTGATGGAACGTCGCGTCGTCTTTCCCTCCCGTTAATCTGCCCCGCCTTCCATTTTCTCTCTCTCCTCTTTCGCCCTCTTTTGGTCGGATCCAAGAGGACGGTCTCCTTCACGACGAAAAATCTGCGGTGAAAGAAAAATATGGCAACTATGGTCCCCGATGCAGCTTTCAAAGTCCGAAGAACCGTTTTCATTCAACGCGTTTTAACTTGTTTGACGGCACGCCGTCATCCTCCCCCTCCCCTCTCGCTCTTTGTTCTTCCTATCCTTTCTCTTTCTCCTCCTTTCTTCTTTCTTTTTTTCTTTTCCGTTAATTTAGGAGTTGTCCTTCTTTGTGTTTGCAGGTCAGACGCAGGAGTGAGTCATGCTCTTGTGCCGAAAGGCGTGGATGGAAAGAGCGGCGAGACAGAAAGATGGCAATTTTATTTTCGTCCAGACGCGGCTACCGCCCGTCTGGCACGAAATCTTTTAAAAGCGCGTCTAAACGTTGCAAGGGAGAAAAACTAACCAGCTCCGGTATGCAAAGGGACGCGATAAACCGAAGGTGGGAATTAATCGCGCGATAATGCGTAAAGCGTTGCGAGAATCCGCGGTACACGTACAATTATGTACGTAAGTATACGCGTGTATCGCAAGACGAACCGATGTAGAAAAAGTTAGGCGTGACAACGCGTATTCGCTTTCGTTTACCGATTTTCCATCTGGATCGCGGGATCCTTACAGAGCAGAGCGTATAGAGCAGGTCGTACCGGGCGAATTAGAAACAGTACGCGTGAACGGAACGCAATACGCGGATTTTATATTTGGTGTGGCGGGCGCGAGCAGACGCGAGCGGACGCGAGCAGACGCAAATAAATGCATAGAGCGAGTGCGAGAGAGGAAGAAAGAGGCTGAATGCGGGGGGGGAAAAAAAAGAAAGGGAGAAAAAACCGGTCGCAGCGTAGAACAGAGAGACAACAAAGCTAAAACATTAAGTACACACACCGTGCTTCGGCGCTTGAGATAAATATAGTTTTAGCGAACAGAGGTCAGTCGCATTGCAAGACCGTACTATAGAATGGTTTTCTAGTTAAGGTCCTTACACGCTCACCGATATCGCGTTTTCGATTCATCTACATCATACGCGACGATCGATCCGGAATATCGAGAAAAAAGCCGTAGCGAGGCGAGACGTTTCCTCCAACGAATCGTTCTTAACTGCATATGTTCGTATGCGTGTACGTCTGGTGTTCGGAACGCGGTACTCTCGGACGATGATACCTTTGCGATTAAAAGAATGACGCGCAAGACAAAAGTCGAACGATAACGCGTTGTAACAGAAATCGTTAGTAGCCTGCTGACAGGTCGAACGAAACGTACCGATTGCAATAGCACGAAACAAGGGCAGGAATAAAGAGATGCAATTGCACGGGACGAAAGGGAGGAGAAGCAGAAGAAGTAGAATAAAGAATCTCAACGAATGGAAATGATGGAAAACAACAACGGTGATACCACGGTGTCGTGGCCCTGCCTATAAATAAATGAAGAAATAATTGATACGAGACTCGGCCTCCTGTTCCCTCGTCCCGTATCCTCCGCCACGGTGCACTTTTCGCCGCTATCGTCCAGTTCTTTCACTCTTCGCCGTAACAACCGTCGCTCTAAGGGCGACGACGTTTAAAAATATCACGCGACAAATCGTCTACCAACGACGCACGCGTCGTCTGCGACAAATCGTGTGCAAACACGCGTCAAACACGCCCGTCGAATACGTCAAATATTATAGGTAAATAACCAGTGTTGTATCAAACGATCCGACTTTACTCCACTCCACTCCACTCCACTCCGTTCCATCTCGTACCATTCCATTGCATCCTATTTTATTTCGTTCGATTCTATTCGGTTGAATTCGGTTCGAATCGGTTCGAATTGGCTCGAATCGGCTCGAATCGGTGCGATATACTAAAATACCGAAATTCCGTAGGCGAAAAGAGTAGTGGATAAAGAGAAATCGAGCGAGACAGAATTGACTGGCTGGAATGATGGATCGAACGTGAATCGTATACGACGAAGCGAAACTGACTCGATTGAATTTATCCAGTTACGTAGCAAATTCCTTGGACAAGGTAGAAATTTACGCGAGACTAGAAATTATATCTACACACCTACGCGACGGATCGTTGAACCCCGAAATTAACGCGACAATGCATCAATCTCGTTTCATTTCGTTCCATTCCCGTATCTTTGTCCCAACTTCTTCCATTTCTTCTTCGGCCCTCCTCTCACCCACTCGCGTATCGTTGAAACACGCTAGCTAATAATATACCCTCTCGTTTTTACTTGTATTTATATTTAAACTATATACGTATATATGCGTATATGTATTTAACCGCGTTAATAATCCCCGGTTAAAATACCTGTCGAGGTGAATGTCCGTGCACATATGTATACGCCTATAATCCTTGCCGATTTCACCGATTACGATTTCTTTGCCTACGATTTTCTACGCTTACGCGGACCTCTCCCTCTAGTTTGCTCGAAGAAGAAGGGAAAGAAATTAGCGGAAAGGGAGAATCGCGATATCATCGATATCGAGCTTATCGTGCGATTAACGAAACGGCAAGAGGATTAGTATCGACGAGATCCGCGAGAGGTACAACGCGCGTTGTATGTACGTAATCGCAAATTGATCGCGCGAACACGCACACGATCGAGGATAAGTTTCGTTTATCGCTTACAGGAAAATACCTTCGAAGGCTAACGTATCTACATGCAGTTATCGTGTTTCCGGTACTCGTTCGACGAAAGTCCGAGTCGTCGAAAGGGAACAGGGATCCGGAGAACTGTGCACGTTCGCGGCGAAACCGGATGTAAAAACTGCCGCCCTCGAGTAATTTGCATCGCGTGACGAAACCGCCCTGCAATTGCAACTGCACTTCGACACTATAACACACGGCGTAACTCGATAAAATTCACATTTGGGTCACGCGTCCCTCCCTCTTTCTCCATTTTCCCCTTCACCTTTTCCACCCTTCGCTCTTACCTCATTCTTTATGTCACCCTTACTCTCGTTCGTTTGCTTTCTTTCTCTCTCTCTCTCTCCCCCTTTATCCCGTGCAAACGGGCCTAGAGCTAGGAGCCTCTCCGTACCTTCTTTACCATGTATCGTGTGTAGTCGAAACTCAACGGTATCCCTTTTGAAATACGCTAAAAGACGGAACAAATAGAGAAAAATACCGAGTAGATAGATCGTTGATGGATGGATCTATATTTATATATGAAAAGGAGAAAGAGAGAGAGAAGGAGACGAAAGAGCAGCAGCAGCATGAAATGACATAGAAGAAAACGGTTCATCCTATACCCGATCATGCTCCTATTTGCGTATATGCAGTTGGAAGAAGAAAATAAGCGCGCGTGGAGAGTTATCGGCGATAACGCGAATCGTTGCACCGAATGAATTTCCTTTCGCGCTGTTACAAATCGGGAAACTTCATATCAAACGAGCCGCGAAGGAAGAAAGATTTCGACGAGGAGAAAATAAGTAGAACGGATAAGGATTTATCGATGATCGCTGACTCCGCGAACGATCGAGAAGGAAAGTAAGGTTAGTGCCTGTGAACGATTCGAAAATATAACTTTGTTGCGAGATCGAGCAAGACTTTGCACAGAGTAACTCGATAATGCTATACCATGGGTGTTGATTTAATGTTATAATATCGTAGGTACACGTACAGCTAACGATAATACCAATTGAATCGTTATGTAACTGTAATAATTCTTAAACGCATTCGCGTTGCAACGTAGCACCGATACTTCGCGCTGTTAATATGTT